GGATAGAGACCTCAAAAGGTCTAGGGGTGCATCCTAGATACTGTGACTGGGATAAAGAGAGAATGAGAAAGAAACAGAACCAGAAACAGGGACAGGGAGTGAGAAAGACAGGAGGTAGGGGAGAGGCCTAGAGAGAAATAGAAAGCACATTTATTAAGCTCTTACTCTATGCCAGACACTGATATGGAGCCCTCTTTAGCCCATTAAAATGCTAGATTTATGAAAAGCCAGACCCAGGAAAAGGTGGCCACTGCTACAGCCTCAGAGGAAAGGCTGGACTGTCACAGAGAGCTACACAAAGCCAGGAGCTACAAGCCTGGGCTTGAACGGAGTGGATGTGAGAGACTCCATCCCTGGCCCAACAGTGCCACCAAGTGAGGAATCCCGAGCATGGATGTCCTCGCCTGGCATTCCCGGTCTCACCATCTACCTCCCTACTCCCCATCCACCCAACCCAGGACAGGGCTTAATCTCCACTCTCAGGTTGGGGCTCCCTGAAGATGGGACCGAGTGTGTCTCCTCAGACTGGGGATTCACTGCGATGAATCTTAGAGGTGGAAAGATCTTCAGTGCTCATTTAATCCAAACCACACCCTAAAAGAATCCCCATCACAATAGACTAGCTCGTGGTCAGGGAGAATTCACTACCTCCTAAATCAGCCTAAGTTCCATTTTGGGATCCACTGAATTCCCTAACATTAGCTCTAAATTATTTTATTTTAAGTCCATTATTCCTGTTTCTGCCCTCCCAGCCAAATAAAACAACTTAATCCCTTCTCCACTAATCAGTCCTTCTAATAACTTGACAACAGCCATTATTTCCCCTTGTCCCCTCAAACCCTGCCAGGTGTCCCCAAATCTTGTCTTCTCAGGGCAAACATCTTCGTATGATATGGACTCAAGACCCTTCACAACTCTGACTGCATCCTCTGGACACTCTCCAGATTTCTACTGTCCTTCTTAAACTGACACCTAGAACTAAAAACAATGCTCCAAATATGATCTTAACAGAATAGTGGTTACCGAGAATATCACCTGCTTTTTTTCCTGGAAACTATGGCAGAGTGGACAGAGGTATGGACTTGGAGTCCAAAATATCTGAGTTCAAACCTGGCCCCAGATGCTTACTAGCTGTATGACCCTGGGCAAGTCACTTAACCTCTATCTGCCTCAGTATCCTCAACTGTAAAATGGGGATAACAGCACCCACCTCCCAGGGTTGTTGTGAGGATCAAATGAGGTAACATTTGTAAAGTGCTCAAGACAGTGTCTGACATGGTAGGTCAAAATCTTTTGGGATCCCCACTCTGACATTCACCAGCATATTCCTTATTCCTCCCAATGAAGAAGCAGAGTGGTGAAGTGGGTGGTGTAAGGGGGGTGTGGAGTCAGGAAGACCAAAGTCTGAATCTCTCCCTTCACGCACTGACTGGCTATATCAGTCTGGCCTCAGGTTACTCATCTGTACATTGGGGGAGTTCAACTGAACCCTTAAAGTCTCTTATAGTCAAATTTATAAGAATACAAGCCATTCCCCAATTGATAAATGGTCAAAGGATATGAACAGGCAGTTCTCAGATGAAGAAATTAAAGCCATCTATAGTCACATGACAAAATGCTCTAAATCACTATTGATTAGAGAAATGCAAATCAAAACAACTCTGAGGTACCACATCACACCTATCAGATTGGCCAAGATGACAAAACAGGAAAATGATACATGTTGGAGAAGATGTGGGAAAATTGGAACACTAACGCATTGTTGGTGGAGTTGTGAAATGATCCAACCATTTTGGAGAGCAATTTGGAACTATGCCCAAAGGGCTATAAAAATGTGCATACCCTTTGACCCAGCAATAGCACTTCTAGGGCTATATCCCAAAGAGATCAAACAAATGGGGAAAGGACCCATATGTACAAAAATATACATAGCAGCTCTTTTTGTGGTGGCAAAGAATTGGAAATTTAGAGGATGCCCATCAATGGGGGGAATGACTGAGCAAGCTGTGGTATATGAATGTAATGGAATACTATTGTGCTATAAGAAATGATGAGCAGGCTGACTTCAGAAAAACCTGGAAAGACTTGGATGGTCTGGAGCAGAACCAGGAGAACATTGTACACAGTAACAGCCATGTTGTGTGATGACCAATATTGATAGATTTAACCCTTCTCAGCAATGCAAGGATCTAAGACATCTCCAAAGACATCTCATGATGGAAAATGCTATCCACATCCAAAGAAAGAACTATGGAGTTTGAATGAAGAGTGAAGCATACTATTTGCTATTTTTTTCTTCTGTTGAGTTTTGTTTTCTCGTTCTGTGGTTCCTCCTATTGGTTCTAATTTTTACTTACAACATCACTAATCTGAAAATGTTTAATAAGAATGTATATATATAGCCTATATCAGATTGTGTACCCTAGGGTAGTAGGGAAGAAGGGGGAGAAAAATTTTAAACTCAAAAGCATATGGAAGTGATTGTTGATAAATCAAAATTAATTATAAAAAAAAAGTCCCTTATAAATCTATGACCTTCTGACTGACTCCCTGAGAGCAGAGGCATTGGGACCCCTTCAGAGTAGAGAGCCCCTGAGGATAAGGGCTGTATTCCCTCAGATGAGTGTCCCTGAGGACAGGGACCTTGTCATCTTCTCCTCAGACCAGTTTACCCGGGCAATTCTACCAGAATCATAGAACCACAGTACAGTTGAACTATGCACAAGTTCAAATCATATCACGTCAGAACTGTAAAGGAGGCACCTCGGCAATCACATGGCCCAACCCTGTCATGTTACAGATGGGAAAACTGAGGCCTAGAATGGGAAACTGACTCAAGGTCATGCATTCAGCAGCAGAGCCAAAAGTAGAAGCCAAGGTTCCCAACCACCAAGTCTGTTTCTCTCTGCTCTAGCAGCAACCAGGGGACCAGAGGGTGATAGATTTAGAGATGGAAGACACCTGAGATGACATCTCGCCTTTCATTTTACTGATGTCATCACAGGCTTTTCTTTAACAGAAAAGGCGCTCCCACTCTGGATACAAAGAAAGGTTAAAAAAAAACCCAAACAATTCCTGTTTTCACAGAACTCAATCCAGTGGTATAGACAACCTGCAGACACCTAGGTACAAACAGAACCCATTACAAACATAAATAGAGGGAAGGCACTAGAATTAAGAGAGATCTGGAAAGGTTTCCTGTAGAAGATGGGATGTTACCTAGGACTTGATGGAAGTGAGGGAAGCAGGAGGGAAAGCATTCCAGGCATGAGGCCAGTGACATTATATATGAATGTGATGGAATACCATTGTTCTACAAGAAATGATGAAGGGGATGGTGAAACCTGGGAAGACTTGTATGAACTGATGCAAAGTGAAGTGAACTTCAGGAAAATGATTTATATGATAACGATACTTTGAAAAACTCAGAGACTCTGATCAACACAATGACCAACCACAGTTCCAGAGGTCTCATGGTGAAACATGCTCCTGACAGCGAGATGGCAGACTCAAAATGCAAATTAAGCTCTGTGTGTGTTTGTGTGAAACACATCTGTGGTATCATTAGCCCAGTTTAATGTTGGTCACTGCAGGACATGCATATGTGTGTGGCCAATATGGGAATTTGTTTGCTTAACTCCACATGTTTGTAATAGGTTTTGTTTTTCTCACTTTCTCAATGCAGCCAATGGCAAATGAAATGGGTCTAAAAATAAAATTGAATTTTAAAAATCAAAATCAATCTCACAACCAACCAAAACTTTTGAACAACCAATTGTGCAACCACCAATTAAAAACAATTGAAAGTTTAAATAGGCTGGAAGCATTGGTGCTCCAGAGACACAGAAGAGTTCCAAGCTATCAGCAGATGATGCTCAAGCTCCGGTACCCAGAGAAGAGAAAAGTGACAGACTCCATCTGCTGGAGGAGAACTGAACATGAGGAAGAAGCAAAGTAAACCAGAGACAGCACTTGTTGCCAAAAGCATATACACAGAGTATCTGCTGGGAATGGAGGCCAGCAGAAGAAGTAGGGACCAGAGCTAAACTGCTGGTGGAAAGAACAGTGAAGAAGGGAATGCCAACCTTCTCCTCCGATGAGGCCCTAACCTGGCCAGCCCTGTACAGTCTGTACAGGTTTCTAAAGGAGGATGGCCCACCGAAGCCAGAAGGGATCCTCTTGACTCTATGTGGACCTAGATACAAGCCCTTTAATTGTTCTAAGATGAAATGCTTTGTGAGCCCGAGTCATTTTAAATGGAGCTGGTGGCTTTCTTTCAGGGAGTACCACAAATTAAAATTCCCAGATCCCACCTGAGGGGGGACAATGGATCAGAAAAGTGAGAGGCCCCAAAATGTGACCGGATTCTTAAGTCATATTGGAGCTTAAAGTGGCATTGGGAACATCTAATGGAGACATCTACTATTGGATTATAAACTCTTTGAAAGCAGAAACTGTTGCTTTTCATGCTTGTATGTAAAATTGTCTGCCACATAGTAGGTACTTAATACATGTTTATTGCATTTACTTCAACAGAGGAAGGGAATAAGCATTTATATAGCACCTACTAGATGTCAGGCGCTGTGCTAAGAGCTTCACAAATATCATCTTATTTAATCCTCACAGCTGCTTGAGGTAAGTGCTGTTATTATCTCCATATTATAGTTGAGGAAACTGAAGCAAACAGAGGCTAAATGACTTACCCAGGGTCACACTGGTAGGAAGTGTCTGAGGCCAGATTTGCACTCAGACCTTCTGGACTCTGGAAGTCCAGCTCTCTATCCATCACGCCACCTAACTACCTCTAAGGTGGTTAGAGATGTGGGTCTGCAGTCCCACACTGGTCTTTCAAAGAGAAGTGACATTGACAGAGAGAGGGCAATAGCATCACCAACTCTTCCCAACCGCTCTCGGGCCTACCTTCGGGAAGAGGGGAATGAGACACACATGGCCCAGCATTGCCAATGAAGTAGAAAAAGAATAGAAAGGAATTTTCTAACCTCAAGTCCTGCAATAGATTAGAGTCACAGAATGGCGGCTAAGGCGGTAACGGCCTGTTGTTTCTCGTACTTGTGGACACTTAAAATCTGAGCCATGGACGTCAGTTTCTCTATCTGGAAAATGATGAAGATGAAAATAAGGCCAGTTTCATTTTTTTCATTCATTCACTCATTTGTTGTTTATTAAGCCCCTACTGTACTGATATGGAATTTACAGATTATATGGGGTGGGGGTTCCTCCCAGCTGACATTCTTCTACACTTCTGGGACTGGCCTCTCAGCAGGAAGAGTAGGCAAATCTCTAACCGTCCTACTTTGCAACTTTTGGTAAAGGGAAAGAAATCCCAAACTCTTGACTGAAATGTGAGTTTTGGATTCTTTGTGGATTTGTACCGTCCATGGGCTCCTTAATGAAGAGTAAGAGATCAGGGAGAGTGAAGGTTAAGTTAAGGGAGGCAATGAAGAAATTTGACCACTTGTGGTGGGAGATTCCTGGATCTACTTGAACGGATGCCTTCTTAGATCCTTTCCAATTCTGAAATTTTGGTTTCTGTAAATGTAGATGTAAAATACAGCCTGTCAGACACAGGAGGGACCTTAGAATACAGAACGTCAGAACTGGGAAATCATTATTGTACCCATTTCCCAGATGGGGAAACTAAGGCAGGCAGCAGTTAGGTGACTTCTCCAAGTCACACAGCTAGCGAGTGTCTCAAGCCAGCCCAGTCTCCCTGCCTCCAGAACAAGCGCTGGGAGGACCCTTCCAGAGCACCTAATCCAACCCCTCATTTAACAGATGGGGAAACTGAGGACCAGCGAGGCTGGTGGACCGAGCTGAAAAGAGGCCGTTGAGGCCAACTGGTTCCTACACCTCTTTTACAGATGGGGAAACCGAGGCTCGGGGAGGCTCAGTGCGTCGTCCAGGGTCACACAGCTGGCGAGTGTCTGCAGCAGGATTCTAGCACCACAGGAGGCTCAGAGCCTAGGTCCGGGTCGCTCGGGCCCCCTCACCGCACCCGTTTTACGTGGAAGACAGGAAAGGCGGGGCCACTGGCGGAGCCGGCTTCCGGGACTTCCGAGGCTACGTCTCAATTCGGTCCCCCGGCGGAAGAGCGTGGTTCAGAACCTTTCTTGCCGGAACCTTTCTGCTCAGGGCTCAGGGCTCCGAGGGGGGAGCTTTTCCTACGGGATTTTCCTCCCACGCGGCCCTTATTTCCCACACTGCCCCGCGCTTCTTCTTTCTCTCTCTCTCTCTCGCTTGGCCTCTTCCGGTCGGTGGAGTGCCTGTTAGCGCAGGCTACGGTGAGAGGCTCTGGGGGTCGCATCCGGCGCCATCCGTGGCCTGGGTGGGACGTGGGGGGACTAGCACATAGTTCCGGGGACAGTGGAAGAATTCTGAGCCGGGGGGCTGGGGGGAGGCAGGGCCCAGGCCGGCGGGCGGGGAGCAAGTCAGGGCTGAGTCCGGGCCCGATGGGAGAGTCGGGGGAGGCCCGGGCCCGGGGTGGCTGAAAGGCCTGGCCGGGGATTGTCAGATCCGGGTTCCCGGATGGAGGGCGAAGACTGGAGAGAGGTCGAGGTTCGGAGACCGGGGCTTCGAGGAGGGGAAGGAGAGGGGCACAGAGGGCTGTGCTGTGGGCTGGGTCTGGAGAAACATCGGGCCGGGTCTGGAGAAACATCGGGCCCGCAAAGGGAGTGTCAGGAGTGGGAAGGGATTGGAAGCCCACGCGGGGCAGAGCGTCCCCGTCGTCCATGGGGGTGAGCTTCGAGGACCTTGGGTGCAGAGCCCACCCCTATCCGGGGAGCCTAAATCTTCTCTCTGGCTTGTGCAACCACTGCTCTGCTCACTCTCGGAATTGATCATGATACTCCCATTAACTTTTTTGACAGCCATGCTCTGTAGAACTTGGTATCCAATTCTCCTTCACATGAGCTGTCATTGATGCTTTCTCCCATCTTGGGCTTTTACGTTCTTAAAGCCCAAGTTAAAAAATTCATCTCAATTAAATTTCTTTCATCTTATTAGATGTTTGGGGCTTGACTGAAGGGAAGCACTATATCGATCAGTAAACATTTATTAATCATTTGCTTTGGGTGCTGTGCTAACAGCTGGCTAAAAGAGGCAAAAGACAGTCCTTGTCCTCAAGCAGCTTAAAGTCAATAGGAGATGACAAGGCAGGATAAATAGGAAATCATTAACAGGGAAGGCACTTAGAATGAAGAGACATTAGGAAAGGTCTCCTGTAAAAGATGGGATTTTGATTGGGAAGCAGGTAAGTCCTGCTTCATAATGAGCTTTTGTAGCTTCATGACCCAGAAAATTTCGTTTAAGTACCCTATGAAAATGAGGGGGCTAGGCGTCATGAGATCACAGGTTCATGGCAGCATGCTTGGCTCTGGATTCTGATCCTAAAATCCTTCTCGTTTCTCCTCTACAGGTGTAAAGATGGCTAAGTCTAAGAACCATACTACCCATAACCAATGTAAGTTCTCCAGGTATAAGTGAGAGGTAGCCCGTGGTATGACTGGATTGAGTGTTAAGACCATTCGCAGGCTCTGTGAATTTGAAGAAGTTGCTAACCTTCAAGCAACCTTTTTTCTTATCTTTTAAATAAGGATAATAATTGTGCCACTTTACGGGAGTGAGGGAAAATAACTTATCTAAATGTAGAAGCCCGTAGCTGTGGAAGCTTGTTATTTACTGTGTTAAATCAAACTGCCTAATTTGGGTTTTTTTCCCTCTTGTCTATAGCACGAAAATGGCACAGAAATGGCATCAAGAAACCCAGGTCACAGAGATACGAGTCTCTGAAAGGGGTGAGTATGCATATATTCTGTGAGTATGGTTCATTAATAAGAGGTTTGGGTTACTGGTTTGATTCTTTAAACGGTCAATTTTGTTACATTGCTTTTTGCCCACAGGCCACCTGACACCTGGCCATCTCACTTTCAGATATGGGGAGGCTGCTACTCTCTGTCAGCCTTGCCATAAGAGAGGCTTCTCTAGAAAAGTTATGTAGGAGTTTAGAACCATACCGTGATACATTGGCAAGAGTGTTAGCTCTGGAGGCAAGAACTTGGATTCAGAGCCTGTGATTTGGTGCCTGTGACCTTGGGCAGGTTAACTTAACTTTTCTGGACCCAAGTGTCCTTACCTATAAGATGCAGGGGTTAAGCTAGATGACCTCTAAGTTTTCTCTAGCTATAATGTGACACTGGCCTGTCAGTAGGAAAGGAACTCCTGCCAGCCCTAAAAGAGTTCATAGGCAGTCTGCTTAAGGAGAGCAGACAAGATGTACACAGCACTGTAGGACAAAGCACAAAGTGTGCAGTGTTGACAGACTTTCTCTTCTCCCTGTCTTTGTGTAGGCTCTGTCTTTTTATCTGAGGTTCTTGGCACAGTGTTGTACTTGCCAAAGTTTAAATTGAATAGATGACATTACTCCTAGTTGTTCCCAGAATATGGTTAGATGTGTAACCTAGGTGTGCTACTGTTGGAGCCAGAGACCATCCAACTTATCTTGTTAATAATTAGGTCACATGAGCTACATTTAGCCTGGATTTGAACAGTTGGTATTAATCCTTTAACCAGTCATCAGTCATTATGCTCATTGTGTTCAATGATTTGAGCTGGTAAAGGGGACATATATTCACAAGATCTTCTGACCCATGTCCTCAGGAATCCTAAAGTCCAGTAGGAGGTAAAAATCATGTACTCATATAACTATATAGGTACGCAGTATTCAAGTGAACCGTCTTAACAGTTTCTTCAAAGGTAATTTTTAATTTCTTGATGACTGTGTACTTTAACAAATGATTTACCTACTGCAGGTCTGTGTAAAGGCCAAACTTTGTTGCCACCTTTGGGTACCAGTCACTTGGCTAAACTTAGTCCCTGATTTGTTTTGTTTTTATAATTTTCCATTCCAAATTCTTTGCCCCTACCCATTGAGAATGCAAGAAATATGTTACCCATTATATATATGAAGTCATGCAAAACATTTCTGTAGTAGCCATGTTCTGGAAGAAAAATAAAGGAAAAGATATACTTCAGTCTGCACTCTTGTATCCACCAGTTCTCTTATCTGAAGGTGGATAGCATTTTTCATTTTGAGTCTTTTGGAGTTGTGGTGAGTCATTGTACTGATAAGACACAGATTACAATATCACTGTTACTGTGTCACTCTGGTTGCCCTCACTTTGCATCAGTTTATAGAAGTCCTTCCAGGTTTTCTGAAAACCATCCCTTTTGTCATTTCTCAGAGCACAATAGTATTCCTTCTGTAACTTGTTCAGTCATTCCACAGTTAATGGGCATTTCCTCAATTTCTAATTCTTTGCCACAAGTAGAACTAGTATAAAGTGCTTTTGTACATGTGGGTACCTTTTTTTTTTCTTTGATCTCTTTGGGGTACAAACCTAGTAGAGGACTACTGGGCCAGAACGTGCTATCTTATAGCCTTTTGGGCATGATTCCTGATTGTTTTCTAGAATTGTTGGACTAATTGCCACATCCCTTCCAGTGTTTGTCATTTTCTGCATCTGCCATCTTGGCCTGTCTGATAGGTGTGAAGTGGTACCTCAGAGTTGGTTTTAATGTGCATTTCTCTGTTATGGTTTAGAACATTTTTTCATTTGATTATGAAAACTTGCCCATTCCTATGTTTATCAGTTGGGGAATGGCTCTTATTTTTTGTAAATTTAGCTCAGTTCCCTATATGTTTGAGAGATGAGACCGTTTTGGCCACATTAGTTCTGTTTGTATAAAAACTTTATAATTTTATATAATCAAAATTATCCATTTTGCCTCCTGTGAACCTCTGTCTCATAAGTATTTCTTTTCCCTGTACTTCCCAAATTTGCTTATGATATCGCTTTCTATAATTATATCATGTACCCATTTTGAGCTTATCTTGGTATGTGGTATGAGATGTTGGTCTGTGCCTAGTTTTGGCCAGACTACTTTCCAGTTTCCCAGCAGTTTTTGTCAACTAGTGAGTTCTTGCCCCAGTATCAGGGATCTTGGGGCTTATTGAACATTAGATTACTGCACTCATTTGTTTTCTGTGTACTTAATCTGTTCCATTGATCAGCCATTCTATTTCTTATCCAGTACCAAATTATTTTGATGATTACTGCTTTGTGGTATATTTTGAGATGTGGTACTGCTAGGCTGGAAACAGTTTTTAAAAATATACCCCTGCAGATTTGGCAATTAGTATTTAGTATGGCTCTGGAATCCATGATGGTTAGATGTAGAGGGGACCTTAGAAATTATGTAGTCCAAGGATATTCAGATTTTTATTAGTAAGCCATATGATGAGAATCTGTGTTTGAACCAAATGAATCTAAAGATTACATTCTGCTTCAATTAAAATGACGAAATAATTGAAGCCAGTAGCATGGCACCTGATGGTCTCTTATACTGCCTTAGGAGGCAGTGGGCAGGTGCTTAGGACCATTCACTGATTTATGAGGTAATTAGGTTAAAAAAAATACTTAGGTAGGCCACGTATTGGTCACTGAGCATCTAGTCTAACTCCTTCAGCTTGTAAATAGGGAAACCGAGGTCCAAGAAGTAGGAAGGGCTTGTCTCAAAGATACACAGCTTATTAGTAGCAGACCTGGACTGGACCTTAGGTCATGATGACTCTTAGTTTAATTTAGACCATCACTCAGCCTTTAAATGCTTGTTCTGTGCTAAGCACCAAGGATACAAAGAAGGCAAAAGTACTCCTGCCTCTCAAAGATCTCACATTTTCTGGCTAGAAGTAGACATGGAGATTTAGGTATACGAAATAGGTGTACAGAATAGATGGAAGGTAATCTCCCAGAAAGGAAGACGCTAGTCAGTAAACATTTTTTAAGCACTTGGTATATGTCAAGCCCTATGCTGCTAAGCGCTGGGGTGAAAATCCCTGTCCTCAAGTTGCTCACAGTCTGTTGGGGGAGACAGCATTCAAAGGAGCTCTATACAGGATAAATTGGAGGCAAGCTGGGATTTGCAGAAGGTTCCTTCAGAAGGTAGGATTTGAATTGAGTCTTGAAAGTAGGAAGGGAAATTTAAGAGGCAGAGGTGAGGAGGAAGAACATTGCGGAAGTGAGGGACAGACAATGCAGAGGCCTAGAGATGAGAAAACAGTAAGTGTAAGAATCCTGGAGAGGTAGAAAGGGAACAGATTATCATTTTAAATGCCAAAGTTAGATTGAGACAGATTCAGAGTTTTGAATGCCAAATACAAGACTAGACGATAGATCCTGGAGCCACTGGACTTAAGAACATCACTTTGGCAGCTTATTGGAGCGGGAGACCTACCAGAAGGTTGTTGTATTTTGCATTAGATAGGAAAGCAGGGGTGAAAGCCTGAACTAGAGTGGTAACCGTAGAAGAGGAGAAAAGAGCTTATATTCAGGAGATACCATGAAGGTCTGATCTGGATGGTCTGGATATGTGGGGCATTAGTTCCTTGTAGAAGTGACTGGCATGTAAGAATAAGAAGTCACAGGTGACACTGGATGAGATGCCAGCCTACTGACTGGAGACTTGTGGTGCCTTGACAGCAGCAGGACAGTTGAAGAGAGGGATGAATTCTGTTTTGGGGAGGTTGTATTGGAGACATCCAGAAGGCAACTGTCAGTGTGATATGGAGCTCCAGTTGACTTGGGTCAGTTGTATAGAGATGATCATTCAATTCATGGGAGCTGATGAGGCAGTCAGAGCCTTGGTTGGTGGGTGTGATATGGATGAAAATATCCAACCAGGGTGAAGGAGCAGTCAGGTAGGAGAGCCAAAAGAGAACAGGGTCACAGACCTAGAGAGGAGAGGACCCAGGATGAGATGGATCACAGCAGCTCGGGGCTTCTTCTCTCCAGGATGAAAGTAGTAAAGACATTGCTTTGTCTTCCAGGTTGACCCCAAGTTTCTGAGAAACATGCGCTTTGCCAAGAAACACAACAAGAAGGGGCTGAAGAAGATGCAGGCCAACAATGCCAAAGCCATCAAAGCACGAGCAGAGGCCATCAAGGCCCTGAGCACCAAGGCCTCCAAGGCCAAGCTCCTCAGGCCCAAGATCCCCAAGGCCAGTGCCTGGCGTACTGGACGTAAGATGGCCACCAAGCGTCCAGGCCCTAGAGTTGGCTTCAAACGGCCAGGCCCTAGGATCACAAAGCCTGACTCTAAGGTTGCCAGAACCGCTGACCCCAAGACTGCCAAGTCCACTGACCCCAAGGCTACTAAGGCTGCCAAGCCTACTGACCCCAAGGCTGCCAAGTCTGCCTCCAAGGTCAGTAAGTCTGATCCCAAGGCTACCAAATCTGGCCCCAAACCCAGCAAATCTGAAGCCAAGGTCGCCAAGTCTGATCCCAAGGCCACAAAGCCCAGTGATTCCAAGGCTGCTAAGCCTGCTGAGTCCAAACCCAAAGATGCTGGGGCTAAAGCTGCTAGTCCCAAGCCTTCAAAATAGATGCTTCAGGACAGAAGGACTTGTTTAAACCCTAAACTACCATTTTTTTCCCAGTCAGGGTATGATTATTCTATTCACTATTTTGTACAAATAAAGAAAATGGTGAGTCATAAGAACCATCAGTCTTTCTGTTGTCGAATCTAAGAGTGGAATAGGGAAGGAGGCCTACAAGCCCAGCTTGGGAGCCAGTATTTTAAAGGAGGTGTAATATATTAGTGATTTATAGATGGGGAAACAGGCTCAGAGCAATTGTGGGCCACCCACCCCCAATATTTTTCAGACAAGGAGGTTGAGACCCCAAGAGCTTAAGTGACTTTGCCAAGGTCACAGAGGTAGTAGGTGTCTTGTTTGGTATGAACCCTAACTGCTACTTAACTGCTGTTTTTGACTTGAAGCAAGTCTTGGCTTCTTTGGCCTGAATTTCTGCAACTGTAAAGTGTGAGGGGCTTAGACTGAAAGAGTGCCTTCCAAGCTCCAAATCTATAGTTCTTTATAAAGGTCTTATCATATCGGGGACTAAAAGCTCATTTAAAAGAGTGCAGCAGGGCGGAGGGAAAACCATCCAAAGGAAAATGTGAATTCAGGTTGCCGATGGAAAACATAGGTGCCGTAGTGGGAAAAGCATGGGATTTGGAACCCAGGGACTTATTTTGTGCCCTCTGGGTTACCTTCAATAACCACATTCTCATGTGTACCTGTTCTCCGCCCCTGTTCTGGGCCTTCGTTTCCTCATCTTCCTTGAAGTTGGAGGATCTGATCCATCAAGTCCCTGCCAGGTATGATCCACAGCCAGAATACCTTGAAAGCCGCAGCTCCCCTTAACCCTATGCCAATCCCGTACAGCAGAGTACGGCTGAGCCTCGGTTTAGGTTCAGGGTTCCTGTTCCTGCTTTCCTAGGCTTCATGACCAAGGGAGAAACACGTTGGACAAGAACTATACCACCACAGAAACCTTATTATGTGTATCCCTTGGTGGCAGGGCCTAGTGATGTAATTACTGGATTGAGGGTTATCCTCCAGTGTCACCCAGAGCAAGGCTCTTAACCTTCTCTAAGATGGTCTCTAAGGTTACTTCAAAAAGGCTGTGAAGTCCACCCTGAACCATTTCTCAGAGTGGATTGTTGGACTGTACGGTTTCACATTCCATGCTTCCAGGGAAGGGCAGCAAGCAAGGAGAACATGTAACAGTTTACTGCCCCGTGTCCAGCGTCCCCTGGTCTGCACTGGGCACTTGGTGTTCTAGTCTTGAACATTAACTATCATTAACTCCAAGTGTATCACTAAGTCACCAGAAACCTGGTCTCTGCCCTTTGAGGGTTGTGATGTCTGCCCTCTTTCCCAGAGTCCTGATAAATGTTCCTGCTTTGGTCTTGGGCTTTTTGTGGACTACTTGTCCAAGACCTTCCCAGTACCAGAGCTTTCTAAGTAAGTATGTAGGCTCAGAGAGGGATTTTGAGTGATAGAGCAGAATTTAGTGACTTCTAGCCCCAAGCCTTGGACCAACAGACTGGGAAGCTTGGAGCCCACCCATAACCCCTGCTGGAATGAAACCTCTGGAGGCCAGACAAAGTTAGGGATCTGGGGAAAACGCTCCCTTGACATTCTTTAGGGGTGCTACCAGAAAACTACCTGGCAGCTGAGTCGCCCCAGAGAGTTTGTCATTTGCTCTAGGAACCAACCAAATTAGACATCCGGGGGATACTGAACAGGAAAAGTCATGGCCAACGAGGCCCTTAGCATACAGTTTATACAATAGACTGGATTTGGGGCGTGGATGGTAATAGAGGAAACTAGAGGCTTAGGGCCTTTGAACACAGCTGTATCCTGGGGTCTTGGCCGAAAGGACCGTAATGGCTGCCCTTTGTTGGAAACCACTGATCCTTGTCTCCCCACCTAGCTGCTTTGCCTGAGTTGCTTCAGTAGCTGCTGGGAAGTTTCCATGTTCCCTGTCCCAGGACCACTTGTGTCCCTGACTACCCTCAGGGTGGGCTGCCCCTGCTTGAAGATCAAAGGACTAGGCTGGACCAGGCCCCATGGTGTTATTATTAGTTCATCCTTGGTTTAATTTTTCATTATCTTGTGCCAGGGATGCTGGGAGAAGCAGGATCCCTGCCTTTCCATCTGCCCTCCCCAGGGGTGTGTATAAGCACTGAGATAATGGATTTTTCCTTGGATCTCTGCCTCTAGGCTCCACCCCTCTCACTCGGGACTATGGCCTTGCAGACTCCCCAAGGGTATGCACGCTTTTGTCTCCCTAGAATGAAAATAGGGTGGGGCTTTTCTAGCCCTCCCGGGCAGAGTTGAGCTCTTGTGCTGAGCAGTCACGTGATGTGGAGCCAAGCATTTGCCCTACGGGGTCTCAATTTCCTCATTAGGGGATGGGTTGGAATCCAAGTCCCCAAGATCCTTTGAAATTCTAGCACTCCAAGATCCTCAGGAAAGATATTTGTAGGGGTAGCTAGGTGGTGCAGTGGATAGAGCACTGGCCCTGGATTCAGGAGGACCTGAGTTCAAAACTGACATCAGACACGTAATACTAGCTGTGTGGCCCTAGGCAGGTCACTTAATCCCATTGCCTAGCCAGAAAAAAAAAAGAAACTTGAGGAAAGGTATTTGTTTTGAAGCATGAAAGGGAATCGCAGATTCCAGGTAATATTACTGTTCTCCTTTCTCTTTGAAGGCAATCCACAAGCATTTATTGTGTGCCAGGGACTGTGCTAGGCCCAGAATAGTCCCGGCCCTCAGGAAGCTTACATTCTGAACACACAGTAAGCATAAAAAAGTAAACAAGGTAATGCGGAGGGGGGGGACTAACAGGTGTAGCTCTGCCATCTGTATGATGGGCAAGGAGGTGGTACCTGAGCTGAGTCTTAAAGACAAAAGGAGGGATTCCTAGGTGGGGAGTGAGGAGGGGCTGCATTCTGGGCACGCAATACAAAAGTACTAGTAGGACAAACCCAGCAGCTGAAGGAATGAGGCCAGTTTAAGCTAAGGAAGTCTGCAATGTGAGGGGGAGCCAAAGTTTGCCAACAGGATAGCTTTTGTCGGGACTATGTCACTCCCTTACCGAGTAGATCCCAGTGGCTCCCTATTGCCTCTAGTATCCACTGTACAGGGTATTTATTTCCTTACTTAATTCCCTTTTCTATGGTGTACAAAGTTCCTCACACCACCACCACCTTGGGAGATAGGTACTTTGAAGTTAATGATACACATTTTGCAAACGAGAGCAGAGGCTCCTAACGCGTCCTTTTCCAAAGTCAAAAAGCTAGGATTCAGATCCATGTTTCCCAACTCCCATCCCAATTGAGAAAGCTGGAGTTAGGAGGACAAACTCCAGCCAGCCACCCCAAACACCAGACTGTCTTCCAGGAGGTTGAGGAAATGTATGGTTCTCCTGATCAGAAGCTTCCGATGTCTTCCCTTGCCCACAGGGTACAAATTCAAGACCCGTCTTGGTGAGATTCCAACTCACCATAACCACCCCCACTCCAAAGCTTTTTCCCGCTCACCTGAAATGCCTGCCCCCTCCCCAATCCAAATCCTAAACCCCATCCTTCAGGAAGTACCTTGGACTCTCCTCACCACAGTGAGCTCCCCTATGGACTCCTAAGTTCATTCCTTTGTAATTCTCTTCACTAGAAGGGATATTTGCCCCTATGGCCCAACCCTCCACACCTGCCTTTGGATTCCTGTCATTTAAAGCTCACTTCACATACCACTTTATGAGATTTTCTCTGACCTCACAGCTCTGTAATGAAGCTTCCCCTTGGACATCACATAATTCGCACTGGTCCATATCTCCAAGGCACTTTATGAAAATAATTTCATTGATGCTTTTTTTTCAACATGACTGTCACTTTGCAAGGACCATCCCTTCCTCCACAGAACCCTCCTTTCTAACAAATAACAACAGTCAAGCAAAAAAGAACACTATATTGGCCAGGTCTGTAAATGTGTGCCTCATTCCATACCTGTAGCCTACCACCTCTTTGCCTAGAAGTGGAAGACATGCTTCACTATCAAGTCTTGAAGTCTTTTAAGTGTTTTTCTTCACATTTCTGCAGTCATTGTATAAATTCACAAATAGGACAACTAGGTAGTGCAGTGGATTGTGCCAGCCTTGTGGTCAGAAGGACCTGAATTCCAATGTGGCCTCAGATACTAGCCGTAACTCTGGGCAAAGTCATTTCACCTGTTTGCCTCAGTTCCTCATCTATAAAATAGGGATAATAGCACCTACTTTGCAGGGTTGCTTAGCACAGTGCCTGGCTAACTATATAAATGTTAGCTGTTACTAGTCATTAAATAGTTCTCCTAGTTCTGGTTTGTTCTGTCTCAGTTCATACAAGTCTTTCCAAGTTTCTCTGAACTCTTTTTTTTAAAAAAAACTTATTGATATCTCTTGTTTTTACATGACTTTTATTTGTGAAAAGTCTGAATTTTTCACATTTATCATTTCTTATGGCATAACATTGGTCCGACTACAGTGAACTAGAATTCTCCAATCAGTGAGCATCCACTTTCATTTCAGCCCTATGCTATTACATCAAATGCTACTACAAATACTTGCGTCTTTCTAGCCCTTTCTTTCAACCTGGTGTATCTGCCTGGAGCAGGTGAGCCAGTTAGCTGCTTTTCTAGTACAGTTCCAAAATATTTTCCTGGACCAAGAACACAGCATTAATGTATGTGTCTGTCTGCTTGGAGGGTGTTTCCACTTCTCCCAATAGACTAAGAGCTCCAACAGGGAACATGCTGTTTTTATCTACATTTTCTCTCAACCCCATTCTGATTTTAAGAAATGTTCTCAATTGTCCCCTCTCCCATAACTTGTCCTGTACTAGTGTAAATCATTTATGTAACACGCGAGAGGCAGCTGGTGGTACAGTGGATAGAGTTGGCAAGACCCAGATTCAAGTCCCGCCTCAGATACTTACTAGCTGTGTGTCCCTGGGCAAGTCACTTAAACGCCACTTGCCTCAGTTTCCTTATCTGGAAAATGAGCTAGAGAAGGACATGGCAAACCATTTCAGCCCAACTACAATGAACCAGAATGTGTTTAATCATTCTCTAATCAATGGGCATCCATTCTTCATTTCAGTCCTTTGCTACTACAAAAAAAGTGCCACTATAAATACTTTTTACAGATGAGAAAAACAAAGGCCAGACGTTAAGTGATTTGCCCATGGACACAGTGCCAGTGGCAGGATTTGAACCCAGGTCTTCCAGACGCTAGCATTCTCCATCGTGCAACACTTCTTCTATCACTGATCTTCCTCAGCTTTGTACCCCTCCCCTTGCCATCCCTTTCCTCCTCCCGAAATCCCTAGAAGATGCTCAGTGAGTGAAGAAGAGTAGGAGTGTATGTCTGTTGGGGGAGAGGGGACACAGTATAGCTCAGCACCAAGATATGGTTTTATTGGAGATCAGGGTCTTTGGCATTACGTTCCTAAGGGGAAAGTCCCAGGCCTAAGCAGGTTGGGGAGGGGAAGGCACTAGGAGAAGCCAGAGGCTGCTATTAGGTGGGGCTGTTAGCACTCATTGTGCAGGGCTGGCATACTGGCCAGGGCAGGCAGCAGTCGGGCATAGATGTCAATGCCCCGAAGGAACACGGCTTCATTCAGGAACTCGTTGTGGTCATGCAGCAGTACTGGTGTCCGGTTCATCGGGGAGAAGCCCAGCGCTGGGACCCCTGCCTGCAAGCATGTGGATGGCATCAGGACAGGGACTAACACTCCTGCCTGGCGGAGAGAGGTCCAGACAGAAAGAAGCCAGCCTACTCCCTCCCTTGCACCTTGGGACTCTCTGGAGTATCCCCCACTCCCCCCACCAGGGACCCAGAGATGAAGTCAGCACAGCACCCTCTCAGTTCCTGCCCAGACCAGAAGTCCTGGAGGATGAACTCTATCTAACTCCCTCTCAAACTCCACCTGCCCTTCCTAATCCTAACACTAGCTGGCTGGCTCCCACTGCCCTGATCTCAAAGCAGCAGGGTAGAGATACTCACAGCTCGTAGGAAGCGGCTGTCAGTGGCAGCTGAGAAGATTTCAGGCTTTATACTGAGATTCCTGGCAGGGGAAGACACAAAGGTCTTTACAAGGGGAAATGGGGGACCTCAGAAATGGACCATGTCAAAAGGAGGAAACAGAAGGGGAAAAAAATGGCAGAACAGGGCATGGGACCAGAGTCCCAGGGTCAGGGGGAAACTTTGTTCTAGGGCGTTACTTACATCTCTCTACAGACTCTGCTGAATTCAGTCCACCATGGGTTAGAGTCATCTACGGCTGTAATTCGGGGCTCTACCCATCTCTGGGGGGTGCCAGATAAAGCAAGGGTCAAAGAACGTGCCTCCCCAATCCCTGCTTCTGGTAGATGACACACACATATGCAAGCAGGTGGAAACACAGGTGCAGGGATACAAACACCCACAATGGCCTACACAAACCAACACACAGATAGATACATACCCCGACCCAAGCAAACCTATACATTGATTTACTCTCACATACACATCCATAGACATACATACAAAGATACACTTTGTCCAGGACATTCAAATACACAGACATAAACTCAGATGGCCCAAACCCCACCCTGGAGCATGCCTGATATCATTTCCTAGGCTCCAATTGTGAAACTCAACAAAAAGGCTCCATGGGGGGGGGTCCATGTACCTGATAAAACTGGTAGGTGACACCTTCCCCAGCCTCCTGGCACCAGCCCTGAATCCGTTCCTCAAAGGCCTAGGAGACACAAGCATAGGGAAGAGGTAGCACCCTCACCCCTGACAAATGACCCCTAGACCCATGCTAAGAAATGGGGGGAAGGAGGAGGGGGGAATCCTGGAGGGATAGTGATATCAGTTCTCATTTCTAGAGCACTTTTAAGCAAAATGCTTTTCTAGAAACCACTCTGTGATTTACATAATGCAAGAAATACTACCCTCACTTGACAATCAAGGGACTGAGCCTTAGGAAGGCTAGTTAACTCACATGTCTGTGCTTGAGTCATTTTGGTACCTGGTAAATATGAAAGCTGAGATTTGAACCCAGGTCTCTTGACTACAAATCTTGAGCTCTTAACACCAGTTGGAAGGCAGGGATTATCTAGGGCCTTGGGAAACTGGGGGGAAGCCCTGGGTCACAAAGGCAGAACCATGTGAAGGTCTTCTCCACCCCCAGCACCTTAAGGTCCACATCTGGAGCAACTCGAAAGTCGAAGCTAGCCCTCATGGTGGCTGGCACTACATTGAAGGCAACTCCTCCCTCCAGCATGGTCAGGTTCACGGAGGTCACAGACCCCAGGGTCAGGCTGGGGTCTGACTGTAGCCTGAGGAAAGGATAATGCTCAATCCCAACACTTCCCAGTGATCCCCTTCCCAAGGGCCCCCAAGCAAAGAGGAGATGGGTGAAGGTTGAGGCAAAGGACAGAAACCAGGGAAGGGGAACGGGGAAGTTCTCACCGACGCTTCTCCTGTTCTCGGAACTCCAGGACTGAGGTGACCACCTTGTGCTGTAGAGCCACCCCGGGGGGTGGGGGAGGGAAGTCAGCCAGGGGCACTCTACTGACAGCCCACCCCCATCTTCCAGGCTTCCCAATATTCTCAACTCACCAGCTTCTCTGCTGCCGTATTCTCAATGAACCGTGAGCCGTGGCCTGGGTTCCCAGAGCTCGTGACATGAAGCCCTGATAGACAAAGGGAGGCCCCAGAGGGCAGAGGCTTATTTTATTTTCTTCATCAGACTAAGGGTTCCCCTAGGGAAGGGATGACTCCACCCTGGACTTGGGCTCCCCGAGGGTGGGGGCTAGGTGCTCCCTCCTGTCTCCTCCCCCAGCTTCACCTGAACCAGAGTAGGGGCTCTACTCACACCAAGGGCTCCGTTCGCTATAGAAGACTGTGAAAGTTTCTGTAGGACTAGCCAAGCCTAGGGAGTTGGAAGTTAGTGGAAGGACAACATGAAGTCTCCGGCCCAGGCCATCCAGACCCCCTGCCCAGCTCAGGACTCACCTTCATCTAGGGCAAAGCCAGCTCGTAGAGCCTGAAACTCTGGCCGTTTCACAAACAGCTCCATGCCCTGGTGTCCTCCAGTCTCCTCATCTGAGAAGGCAACAGGTACCATGAAGCAAAGACACACATACACACACACACTTCGTGTCCATGTTCTGCTCTCCACTCTAGGGCTGGAGGTGCCCATTTCCCCACAGCAGGGATGGAGGCCCCCCAGTGGGCCCCTGACACTAGGCCACTCCCCTACTCTCAACCCCCACCACAGCCATACCAGGGACAAACGTCAGGTGAATGGTCCTGGGAAAACACTTCCCTTCTGCCTTTAGCCTCCGCACAGCCTCCAGGTACCTGGAGGGACACACAAGGATGAGACTCTGACGCATGGAGTCCATTCAAGAGGGAGGCAGATGTGGCGTCTAGGTAACCCAGGGTCCAAGGTCCCACAGCTGGCCACCCAAGAATCTCAGGTTATCAAAGGATCTGGGTTCTAAGTACCTTTAACATCCCAAAGGGTTGTTCAAGGAAGAACCAAAGGATTCTTCCAGCCTCCATCCAAAGAGTGCCAATGATGAGGAACCCACTGATTTGTGAAGCAGCCCATTCCACTTTGGGCCAGTTCAGAGGAGATTTTTTTTTTCCTTTTATCAAAAGGACATCTGCCTCTTTGATCTTCTACCCACCCCTCCTAATTCTGCCTTCCTGGTGAAAGCAGAACCAGTCTTGTCACCCTCAACATGACAGCCCTTCAGATACTTGAAGACAGCTCCCACATCAAGCACAACCCATTCACAAACATGAAGTGCCTGCTATGTGCCATCCACGCTCTCAAGGACCTTGTGGTACCAAGTCTTTTCTTGGCCTGGCTCCTTCAAGCTATAATCTTGTGACGTGATATGGGTGGTCACCTTCCCCTGCACAGACCCTCCCTAAAATGTGATGCCTACTAGATGGTGAGCTCCTTGGGGGGACCATCTTTTGCCTCTTTTTGTATCCCTGATGCTTAGCACAGTGCCTGACACATAGAAGGTGTTTAATTAATGTTTATTGACTGACTCTTCTAAATTCAGTCTGACCAGGGAAGAGGACTGTGGTGCTATTACCTCACTCCACCTGGCCTAAAATTCTATTAGCAGCACCGTGCTCTGCCATATCCCAGTGTTAATTCCTACTGAGCTTGCAGTCTGTCCAAACCCCACAGCTTGTTTATATCAACTTGAGGACAGGGACTATTTCTACATCTCCCCTACCCTGTACTTGTATATTTGAGTTTGGTTTTTTTTTTTAATCCAGGTAGGATTTTACTCCCATTAAATTTCATTTTCTTGCATCGTCACAGGTCTTTTTTGGAACATAATTCCATCCTCCAGTATATTAACTCTCTCTTAACCTTCTGTCATTTGCAAATCTGAGAAACACACACTACGTCTTTCACGCAGTCCGTAGTTGAACATTAGCAGAGAGAATGAAGACACACTAGAGGGCGCCAGCAATTGCGGGCAGCCAGTGGTCTGTAAGTTCATTAAGAGTCAACAGTGGGATATGGCAGGCCCCAAAAGCTCATGCTGTCCTACAGCATTAAGAGAAGCAGAGCGCCCAGTACTAGAGACCTGACAGCCCTACTTCCTTATGTCCTGGTCAAGCCCGATCAGGAAGACCTGAGTTCAATAGTTGTGTGACCCTAGGCAAGACATCAGTTTCTTCAACTGTAAAATGGGAATTATAACAGTCCCACCTATCACATGAGATTATGCATGTAAAGCACTTAGCACAGTGTCTGACACACAGATACTATGTAAGTACTAGCTATTTTTAAAACTAATCTGAAGAAGACTCAGGAGGGACATAATTGACAATATTAGAGGCACTGTCCTGTGAAAGGCAGATCAGACTGGTTCTGCCTGGCCCAGCCAGGAAGGCAGAGCTTGGAGATATCTTTAAGAATTTGTACTATCCTGTCCCAAAAGAAAAGAGCTGTGTCCCCAGGGAAGCCTTGAGTTCCCTACAGATACAGACTCAAGCTGAGCTTGAGGGAATGCTAGATACTACAGAGCAAAGACTCACTAACAGGTGGAAGGCACATAAGCAAATTAGCTGTGTAGGTAGCACGGGACTCAGTGACCTCTGAAATCCCTTCTGACTCCCAGATTCCGTGATTCACTCTTAGCCAAAGAGGGAAACCAAGGCCCAGAAAAGGAGATGTGACCATGTGGAGAGAGAAAGAGAAATATGGAAGTGTGCAGTCTCCCCAGTGGCTGTGGATTCAGAGACTCACTGAATGCCAACACATTTCATGTCCTGAGCACCCCGAGCATAAATGTTCCCTTGGGTGTCCTTGAAGGCTTCAAAGGGATCGTGATTCCAGTGTTCCTGAGAACAAAAAGAGCATAGGGTTGGATGGAAAGTTCCTGCTCACCTTGGTCTTGTCCAATCCCATTCTTGTGACTTGCCCAGAATACCCTTCCCCCATGCTAGGGGTCATCTGCTTCCCTAATCTGCCACTCATAACATAAAGTGGCCCTTTGAATACCCCCCTCCTTCAGGAAGCCTCCCTGGATTGCTAGGCCTCCAGGCTACAAACCTCCCAGAGCAACCTGAAACTCACTGTTCCCCAATAGTTCTGTTTCCAACAGAACTCTTCCTGCCTGCTCTCACACTGTATGCCTTGATCTGATTACGTGTCTCACATACTTCAGTGATGGCAGGGCATCTGCCCTACCCCCATCCCACATTTAACCAGCACCCCTTCTCTAAACCATTCCCAGCTGTTCCCATCCAGACCAGTTTCCTTTCTGACCTCTGTACACCCTAAGTGGCTTCCTTCTTCCGCAGCCTTCATTCACATGGTTCCCAGGAAGAGCAGTGGATAGGCCTGACCTCCAACACATTCTAGCTTTATAATCTTGCACAAATAACTTAACCCCTGTCTGTGGTTCTTCATTTCAATTAAGCATTTATTAAGTGTCAAATATATGCAAGGCACTAGAGATTCAAAGACAAAAACAAGAGCCCTCAAAGGAGCTGACATTCTCCTGGGCCAAATATACCGTATATAAAGAAAAATAAATACAAAATACAAATGAGGTAAAATATAAATATATATATGTATATATATAAAATGAAATAATATAAAATAGTATATTGTATTATATATAATATATAATTTTATATATATATATATATATATATATATATATATATATATATATACATATATATATATATATATGAGAAGAGGAGAAAACACTCAACAACTTGGGACATCAAGAAATGACCTCATTTAGGACCCCCCAGAGATATGCTTTAGAGAAAGCTAGGGATTTGAAGAGATGGCCATGAGAGCTTAGTGCATTCCCCCCTCAACAAAGGAGCCACTTGGGCAAAGACATGGAGGAAGAAGGTAGAATATTGGGTATGGGGAGCATAGGATACGTGAAGAGGATGAATGTGAAATGAGACCAGGGGAAAGATAAAATGGAATCAATTTTCAGAGGACTTTCAATGCCATGCACACAACTTTGTGTTTTATCTTAGAAACAACACAGTAGGGGAGGCGGTGGAGCAGTAGATGGATATTGCATTTGCACTGAAGTTCCCAGGTTCAAGTCCCAACCTTTCATTCTGCGTGACCTTCCCACCAAATCTCTCTGGGCCTCAGTTTCCTCATCTGTAAAATGAGGGAATTGGACTAGATGACCTCCAAGGTCCCTTCTGCTTTTAAATCTGTGCTCAGTGGTCAGTGCAGAGCTATTGAGGATTGTGACACTGGAAAGTGGGGATAAGAGCCCTAGTGCCTCCTTCATGGAGCTGTTGTGAGGCTCAAATGAAATAATGCATATAGAGCCTGTTGGAAGACTCACATCACTTACCTGTTGTTATCAATATTGTTCCCCCAAACTTCAAACATTGCAAGTTAAGTGGCACTGCCTCCAGAAAGCCTATGCTCACAATCCCAACTCACTGGGATCCTACCTATCAGCTCCTAGAGTCATTCTTGTTGTCTCCCATACTCTTCTCTATCTTGTCCCCACCAACCAGGCTATGAGCTCTTGTGCTACGTTATCTTCCTAAAGTTGCAAGACCTGAGTTCAGGTCTCAGTTTTGACACCTACTTGGTGACCATAGACAAATTTTTAATCCTTTCTAAGCCTCATCTATAAAGTGGGGATCACATTTGCACAACCTATTCCAAGAGGTGGCTGTGAGGAATAGTCCATATCAAATAGGAATAGGTACTTATCACTAGCTGTGCTTACTTGCCGATTCCCTGGGTGATAAGGAAAGGCTTCTTTGAGGAGGTAAAAGGTGCTGGACCTTGCAGCATGACCAGGAACTATGGGAGAGATGTTACTAGAGCCCTCTACCACCCCCATCTCTGATCTCCCAGACATCTACCTCGAAGACAGGCACCACATCGGTGTGGGAGTTAAGCACAAGAGAACGGAGGCTGGGATCTGTGCCTTGCCAGGTCAATATAGTCACTACTCGGCCTGGGGCCACCTGGCAAAAAGAGAAAATGGTGGAAGGATTGTAGAGGATTAAAGAGAGCATGAGGAAGAAATTTCCCACTCCCAGTCCTTGGAGCCCTGCTGGCTCCCCTCCCCAGCTTAGAGCACAATTCCCCCTATCCCCTCCTTTTACCTCTACCTTCTAACACCTAAGCCCCAGGTCAGATCATAGATCCCCCCCACCCGCCTTACCTCCACTTTCTGACACTCAAGGCCCAAGTCCTTGGCTATCTTCTCCAAAAAAAGCACAGCTTCATCTGTAGGGGAGAGAGAAACTCTGGTGAGATGGGAAAAGGAGAGGAGACAAGAACCCATCCCATTCCAGAATCTGGCTGGCAGCTTCTTTCTCCCCAAGGTCCTTGCCCCAGTCCAGGGCCAACAAGGGGCAGAGTCTATGTCAAATTCCAAATTTCAGAGGCTTGATACACCATTTCTTCAGTTACTGGACCAACCGAGATGGGGCTGTGAATGCTTGATGTCTGTAGTCAGTGAGAAGCTGATGTCTAAGGTCTCTGAGCCTGCCTTTAGCATTCATGCTTGAGAGGCCTTATCCCCAACCCATTCAGAGACATGTGGCCTCTTGCAAGGGACCCTCATCTGAGCTTCCTCACCATACTTAGGCTCTGGCTGCACAGTCCGGATTCGGAGGTACTGGCGAAACAGTGTCACACCTGGATGCTCCCCCTCTGAGAGCTGGCGGCGGTCTTGGCCAGGCATAGTAGTCCTGAATGCCTTGCTTCCTTCCCCTGCTGGATGGTAACTCAGAATGTTAGCATTGGAGACCACTCCAGCTGGCTTTCAAGGGTCCAAGTACCATCCCCCTACACCCCAAAGGTTCCCATATACCAACAAAGGAACCCAAGATCTTGGTCTCTTGGGCCTACAACCTGTTAAGGCAGGAAGCCCATGGAGTGAGTAGGTCCAAGGATGAAACCATCTCAGACTCCTCCATTCTGGATCAACCCAACCCAACTTCAGCCTTCCTCCAAAAAGACTACTGCAATTCCTTGACCCATGAAGGGCCTCCAACCTCTCCCTATTGTTATTCAGTCATGTCCAACTCTTTGTGACTCCATTTGGGGTTTTCTTGGCAAACATATTGCAGTGGTTTGCCATTTCCTTTTCCAGCTCATTTTACAGATGAAGAAACTGAGGCCAACAGGTTAAGTGACTTGCCCAAGGTCACACAGCTAGTAAGTGTCTGAGACTTTGAACTCAGGAAGATCAATACTCCTGAGTTCAGGCCCAACATTCTATCCACTGAGCCACCTAGCTACCTTGCCCTTAGAGCCTCTCTGACCACTTTCCACTCTAACAGGGTCAGTATTCCTCTCTCCAAAATCCTTCAGGCCGCTCTCCATTCCTGCAGGGACCCAAAACCTCTTCTTACCCCCATTCCTAACCCCAACCTACCACCACATAGTAAATGCTTAACAAACACTTGTCGATTGCTTCCCTGGAAGCCTGCAGGTCCCCCTTTCCCCTCAGTCTCTCTGGGTCCCACCCGGGGCCCTCATCCTTTCTTTACTCCCCACAGTCACTCAGACCTCTGTTTCCCCAGGGGTGGCGAGGGTTCCCTTCCTATTCTCATAGACCCTCAGGATTCCTTCCCACCCTTGCCCAGTGCCCTCCCACCTCTCTTTCTGCCTCAGGGCCACCAATCCTTCCAGCCCCAGTGAATCCTCCACCCCCCAACCCTGGGTTCAGTCTAAAAGCCTGAGCCGGCAGCCCGAGGCCATAACATCTGGGTCCCAACCCTGGCAGCACATCTGGCCCGAGCAGGTGGTCGCCACCCCGCCACCGGCAGCGCAGTCTCTGGCTCAGGGGGCAGCGGGGACTCTCGGCGGCACGTGGAGGCCTGCAGGAGCAGGCTGCTGCGATGGCCGCCACGACCCGGCCCACTGCCCCGCTGGGCTCCAATTCCCACCCCCCACCCCCACCCCCAACCGTTACCCCGGTGCGCCAAGATCCCCAGCAGCCACTCCGGACGCTGCAATCCAGTCTGTCAGGCCTGCCCCGGGTTGTCCCTGTATTGGGAGAGACTCCACCCCACCCCCGGCAGACACCGCCCCTGGGCAGGCCGGGAGGCGGGACATGAGGACGCGATGTCCCCAAGAGATCTTTCTGTGTGAGCATTGCTCTATCTCCCACATCTATGCGTAACTGTCACCATGACAGTAAAGACACTGTAACCATGTCGCCGTGACACTGTAACCTTGGACTTCTCTTCGGAGCACTGTGTTGGACTCTTTTCACATACTCTCCCTCCCTTGGCTCACCGGGGTTCAATAATGATTTCTCTGTTCCTGGGGCAAAGTTGAGTCTTCCTGACTTCAGACCGGCACTCTATCCACTGTGCCATCTACCTACCCTAGATTTAATTTCTATATATGAATGTAAAATGGGCTTCTTGCTTTCAAAATGACATATCATCTACTTATTTGTTTGTATCCATAGTGGGGATTTAAATTGTTGGAGTCTCCGAACTTATTTTAAAAATATTTTGATACCTGTATTTCAATATAATTGGTTTCGTTTGTAAATGTAAAAAAAAATTTAAAAATGATTTCCACTATTAAAAAAAAATAATGATCTCTTTGCAGAGGTTTCCAAAATTTATATATCCACCTCCCGTCTCCTTCCTGAACTCGTCCTGTATCACCAACTGCTTGCTGGACATCTACTGAATACCTACTAAGCATCTCACATTAGACATTTCCAAACCAGAACTCATTACTATGTCCCCCAAAGCTATCCTTCCTCCAAACTTCCCATTTCTGCTGAGGGCACCAATCAACTCTCCAGGAACTCAGGTGTGAAACCCTGGAGTTACCCTTGACCTCTCCCTCATCACCCACATCCAGTCAATCAGTTGCCAAGCCTTGGCACAAACTGGTCTCTCAGGTCCCCATGAAGACATTTTTTTCTCTGTACCTTTATATAGGCAGTCCTCCCATGGAATACACTTCCTCCTTACCTCTGCCTCTTCCAGTGGCTAGCTCCCTCCAAGATACAGCTTAGGTACCATCTACTCCAGGCCTCTCTGGATCCCCCACTTTAAAAAAAAACACAAAACCAAATACCCTCCCTGTTTAAATTACTTTGTATTATGTTGTGTATTCCTTAGTTTACTCACCTGTGCACCTGCTGTTTCCTCTCAACTTCCTCTCAGAACAGATTGTAAACTCCTTAAAGGCAGGAGCTATTTTGATTCTTTTTGTCCCCTAGGACTAACACAGTACCTTGCACATAGCACGAGCTTCATGCTTGTATATGTGTGTGATTTTGGCATTGGCCAGAAATAGCACCTTCCACTCTCAATACAGTACAGGATATAACCTATAATATTGTCTAACTGTCTTATCACTGTGTCAGGCAACACAGGAGGGCTCGTGAACAGGTATAGTTGTGTGATGCACACAGACTGTCACCAAGTACATGTAACATTGACTGGATCTTTGACCTTGGACAAGACACTTAATCCTGTCTCCTTCAGTTTCTTCTTCTTCTCCAAAAAAAAGCACAGCTTCATCTGTAGGGGAGAGAGAAACTCTGGTGGGGATTGGAAAAGGAGAGGAGACAAGAACCCATCCCATTCCAGAATCTGGCTGGGCACTTCTTTCTCCCCAGGGGGATTTGTGCTCTAATCTGGGGAGGAGAGCCAGCAGGGCTCCTGATCCCATACTTGATCTGAGACAGACACAATAATAGCACCTACTTCCCAAGGTGGTCCTGAGGATCAAATGTGGTATTTGTGAAATGCTTGCAAACTTTGAATTCGTATAAATTCTATTATGTGTATGTGCCTAAGTGTTTATTGAAGACAACCGTGTTGCTATCTAACAAGAAAGCTGCCTGTGCAAGACTTACTGCCCATGGTCCCCTGTAGATGTGGCTGGGTGGCCATCCCACTCTGAATGACTGTGGGATAGCCTGAACCAAGGTAAGGGCATTCTCCTTGAACCAGGCGCTGCCAGGCTCTGGGACCCTAGTGGAAATGAGTACATGGATGTGTGCAAGAGTGTATGCTGGCATGTTCAGCGTAGGACCACAAGTACCCTTTGTTCTCTCTGGACAGCCAGTTTACCACAGGAGGCCTTTGAACTCACTTCCCCGTCCCCTTCTCCCCACCCTTCCCCCATGCACGGTGCTGATTCAGCTCCCCCAGGGCTCATGTGTGTGCTTCTACTTGAGAGCTGGGCATGCTTCTCATGGCAGTTTTGTGTGCCTGCACAGGGTGGAAGCAGGGAAGATACTGACCCACTCAGCACAGACTAGGGTTCAGAACGGGCCTGAAATGATTCACTTACCCTGATCTTTCCCCCTCTTCCAAGTCCAGCGCTTCTTTGTCCCAATCCTCTCCCCCCTGGTTCCCCAGACTATTGAGCATGCAACATGAGATCAACCACCCCACTCGCACAACAGGAGTACCCCTGCCAAAAGCCACAAAACCACAAGCCAGAGGAGGACAGGGCCTCAGAGATCAGGTCTCGCTCTGTCCCACTCCCTCCGACCTCTTTCTTTTTTTAAAAAAAATTTTTTTTCCATCTGCTTTTGAGTTGAAAATTTTTTCTCCCTTTTTCTTCCCCCCACCCTCCCCAAGACGGCACACAATCTGACATAGGCTTTACATTTACATACCCGTTAAACATATTTTCACATTAGTAAAGTTGTAAGTAAAAATTAAAACCAATAGGAGGAACCATCAGAAAGATGAAACAAAACTCAACAGAAGGTAAAAATATGTGATAGTGATTCAACTTTCATAGTTCTTTCTTTGGATGTGGACAGCATTTTCCATCCCGAGGACTCTGGAGACGTCTTAGATCCTTGTAATGCTGAGAAGGGTTCAGTTTAACATTCTTAGCCATTGCATAACGTGGCTGCTATTGTGCACAAAGTCCTCTTGGTTCTGCTCACTTCACCCAGCATCAGACCATATAAGTCTTCCCACGTTTTTCTGAAGTCAGCCTGTTCATCATTTCTTATAGCATAATAGTATTCCATTACATTCATATACCACAACTTGCTCAGCCATTCCCCAATTGATGGGCATCCTTCCAACCTCTTTTCTTCACAGGCCCTGCCCTGATTCATGGTATGAAGGGTCTCACAAGCTTCATTTTCAAAAGCCTGGTCAGAGGAAGCTTGGTCCTGGGAGCCTGGACACACTGAGAGGAGAAAAGAAGGCACAGGCAGGGACACAAGCCTACTCCCTCCCTCCCAGCTTCTCCTGCCCCAGGCTACAGGGCTCCTTCAACTGCTCCCCACCCCTACCTGTGGTCTCCTTGCTTCCCCAGTCATTCACGGAGGCTGAGGGAAATTGGGGGGGTCATTTGTAAGGGCTGTTCCACGTCTTTGGGGGTCCTGGACAGGCCTCTCTATTGAGCCACTAGACATGGACAGCATCCCTTGGTAGTCTCCTAATCCCATACTTGATCTGAGATAGGGACAAGGCTATCCTTTGGGTGCCCTGTATGAAGAATCCTATAAATTGCTCCAGTCAACCATCTCTGTGGGGTCACAGGCCCTCGCCTTCAGCTTTGTTAATCTAAGCAGGAGGAAGAAGAGAGTTCAAACACTGCATCAGCTGCTTCCTAGCTGCGTGACTCTGGTCAAGTCACTTCAAACCTCTCTTGGCCTCAGTTTCCTTATTGGTGAAATGGGGATAATAAAAGCACCTACCTTGCAAGATTGTTGTGAGAATAGAATAATAGACATAACCTCAGATGGCCGGTCTTGGGGTTTCCTTAGAAGACCTTAGACTAGATCAGGGGTGGGTAACCTGCGGCCTCGAGGCCACATGTGGCCCTCTGGGTCCTCGGGTGTGGCCATTTGACTGAGTCCAAGTTTTATAGAGCAAATCCTTTTATTACGGGGATTTGTTCTGTGAAGTTTGGATTCAGTCAAAGGGCTGCACTTGAGGACCTAGAGGGCCACATGTGGCCTCAAGGCCACAGATTCCCCACCCCTGGACTTCATAAAGCCTTCTCAGCTATGTTGTAGAAGGGATTCTTTTAGGGTGTGAGTTGTTCTAGACAGCTGCTGGAGTGTATACCAGTTCCAAGAGTCTGTGATTCCAACCTCCTCCTTTTATAGATGAAGAAACCAGTCTAGACAGGGGAAAGGACTTAGCCAGGAACACACAGCAAGTGAAGGGCAGAAGCCTCTGGGACAAGGACCCAGGTTCTCCTGACACTTCGGTCCAGGGCTCAATGCCTTAGTTCATCCCACCCCCATTCTCAGAACCCCAAACAACTCCAAGTCAGATGCTGGATGGGAATGGAGTGAACTGCCTCTGAGTCCAACCTTCCTTCATACCCTTCCCTCCACCTCATGCCCTCCCCAACCCCAACAGGATGTATACCCAGGAAGCAGACAAAGTTCATTTATTTAAGTCCAAGTGAGTGGGGGCTGGTGAGGCCCCTAGAGGGCAACCACGAGTTTCCAGTTCCACCAGCCTTCTGCCTGGTCTGCCTCTGTGGCACTGGAACACATTGTCTTACAAAGGTCCGCTGAACCCTACCCCAGTCTCTCGGGATTCCTGGGCCCACCCTGCTCCACCCAGAGACAGGACAGTCATCACAGAGATGCAGACTTCAGGACAGCTTGTCCAGGAAGGTCAGCAAGGCATCATGGAAGTCATGGGGCTGGTGCAGGTAACAAGCATGGCCAGCATCCTGCAACTTCACTGTTGAGTGGTTGGGGAGGTATCGAAGCTTCTGCAGAGACTCCTGGGCCAGGCCTTTGTCTAGAGCTCCATATATGATAAGTGTGGGTGTCTGCAGGGGGAAAAAGCCTGAGCTGAGCCACAGCTGAGCCAGGAAGCTGGCCCCACTAGGGGGCTTTCTGTCACAAAGCCTTGGTCCTTGGCCTTCTTCCTCAACACCACCTTCTAGCTTCCTCCCAGGTCCCTACTCTCCTTCAGGGCTGGCTTTGAGGTATACCTCCACGGGGAAGTGTTCCCAGCACAATGCCATCAACCAATGTATAAACAGGAGCCCTTGCACAGAGTAGCATGTATGCCTGGGGCTGCTTCCACAGTACTTGGGATGCCTC